TATGTGTTCTGTTATTTTACTTAAGACGTGAAATGAGTCAAAAGAGTATGTTTATCATTATTAATATTCAAATCAATATTTTTCCATATAATGCAATTCTTAGCACTATTTTAAAAAATTGTTTATAATTTTAACAGCATAACTAATTCTTCATATGAAAACAGAACCCCGTGGTTGAGTCTTTTGGTATACAAAACAAATTACATGGTTATTAATAGTAATGAGACAGGAAAAGTGAAGTAATAAGAAATAATAAATAATGGGAAGTGAGTAAGGTTAGAAAAGGAAAGGTTAAACAATGCTTACCCTGAGGTCATTCATTGTTATTTTAAGGGATTTTGAGGGCTTTATTCTGTTTTTGTTTTTTGTGGGTATTATTTTTTTTTTGAGGAAAAGTAAGAATTTACCACTATAACCCTTTTATTTAGAAATGGTTAAAATTTTCTAGAATGTGCAACTTGCTGTGTTGATCGTCCATTGCTGGATAGTCTTATCAGACTCCATTTGGGAAACGCTGGCTTACACAAATCATAGCCCTAAAATTCTTCAAGGGTTTACTACAGGAGAGCATGCTCCAGAAGAATGGGCACAGGATTTCATTCTCAGCAAGGGCAGGTATAGGGCAAAATTTTATATGTTCTTTAGATTTCCTCTTTCTTATTTATTTATTTCTTCAGAGAAAGAGAGAGACAGGCATCCCTAAAAGGGTCTTCGTGCTACAAGCCGTCCCTAGCCTCAGACAGCCGTTATTACAGAATACATGTATGTTCTGGCCTATACGGAGGCCCCAGGCTACGAACCTAGAACCTTTTCATGTGGGATTAACATTGCAGAATGTTGTATTACTGTTGAATCACCATCTGGCTGCCATCTTTCTTACTTGATAATAAAAAGCTAAAGACATGAATAGCAAATAAGGTATAAAGATCAACAGTTTCATATCTTTAAATATCAGGAAGTAGAGCTCTAATAGCTTTCAAAAAGTGACAGCCATAGTACTAGATTAACTGCACTTTTCGTATTTAATTCCACATGCTATAGCATAAAAACAAAGAACTGTAATAAAAGACCTCGTTGAAAAGACTTACTACCACAACAGATAAGTTTCCTTTTTCTTCTCTTTTACCTTCTCTGCTCATTTCTCTGACTCAGGTTTTGACTAGTTCTATTGGGGTTCTTTTTGCTAATATCTCTATGAAAATTTTGTCAAAGCCTGGACCACTGAGCAATTGGCTACAGTTTGAGGTGTGTTTTTAGTCATGACATTTGCACCTATTTCTCTTCTTCATCTTTTTTCCTTTTATTCTTCACTAGGATTCCTGTTGTGATTACTATTTCATGTTTATTGGACAATTCAGACCTATATAAGATAGTACTAAGATTTGTATGCTGTAATGCTGGGTCCGTGAATAAGTGTGTGCAGGCAAACCCTGTGAGTTACAGATGTTTTTGCATAAATGTGCAGACATGTTTAGTATGAATATGCTATGCAAATACCCTTCACTTTACAAGTATTTGGTATTTATTCAGATGTTTTAGAAAATAAATTATATGGGGACCAGCAGTTGGCGTAATGGCTATGTCGCTGGACTCCCACATAGTTGACTGCGGTTCGAGTCCTGGACCCTGTGGCTTAAACTCATGCCAAGTGTGTGTGTGTGCATACCCAAGATCCCGAGAGGAGAATGGAAGAGAAGGGATTGTGGTGTGGCCATCCCCCTGGGCGCGATTTCTCACCTTCCATCTCTCTGTCTCTCTCTCTCTCTCTCTCTCTCTCTGTCTTTCTGGCAAGCGTACATACCCTATAGCAAAAACCTCTCAAAAAAAAAAAAAGAAAAAAGAAAAACTGCATATATGTCCAGTGGCTTTTTGATTTAACATTCTTTTTCACAAATGATAACTCACTTTAGTAATCAGAATTAGTTTAGTCTCTATATTACTTGGGACATCATTAATTCATCAAAAAAAATCAAAGGCCTATAATCATAGGAATTATTCTAATAGCTTTCTAAAAATGACAATCATCATAATGAATTACTTAGAAAGTGACAATAGGATTTTATTGCCTGGTAGTGTGAAGAGAGGCGTGTAAGCAATTGCTCTATAGTTATAAAACAATACAGAATAATCATTGTAATGAATGGATGACACACAGAAGCAGAGGAGTGGGTTTAAACAAGCCAGAAATAACGTCATAGAGGAAGGAGTATTTAAGGAGAAGCTTAAAGAATAGCAGGGCACATCAGGAGATGATGAGAAGGAAGGATTATTCCAGAGAAAAGAGGAATGTGTTAAACATGAAGAAGCCGGATACTGAGAGCATTCAGAGAATGAGTTCGGTATGAATATGTAAGAAGGGGTAGAGAACTAGGGGAAAAAGGATTGCTATATGACTAGGCCCTGTCGAAGGGCACTTTCTTTCTCTTCCTTTTTCTCTGGCGGGCACATGCACTCTCTGGCAATAAATTATTTTTTAAATTCTGTTTATAAATTTATTTAATGGAACTTCCTAGATGTTTCATATTTCATGTATAAGTTTAACATATTGAATTTCATTTTTAAGCATTTTAAATACCTGGATGAACAAATTTAATAATGTCTCTAGGCCTAACCTTCTCAAGAACTTAAATGACTTTTATAAATCTATTGAATTAAATCACATTCAGTTCTCTAAAATATTCCAATAGCACTTGTAATTCGATTTTCATATGTTTTCTAAGTATATATATATGTAAATGTATATTATATATAAGTATATATTTTATACACATATTAAAATGTATTTCTTCTATGGGAGGGGGGAGAGAGACAGAGGAACAGTCACTCCCTACAGGGTTCTCACACTACAATCCAATACCAGTCTCAGCCAACCTGGATCACAGGCGTGTGCACACATACGTGCATGCTCCAAGATGTCCCAAGATGCAAACTCAGGATGTTTCCCACGTGGATTTAGTTGCATTACCACTGCACCACCACCTGGGTCCATCTGAGAAGTAAATTTAATATGAAACACTTTCAAGCATATAAAAGGCAGGGAAAATAATGAACCCCATTTCCCCTCCATCTGCTTCATGTCCAATCTTGTGTCATGTTTGCACTGAACTGCTTCTTCTTGTATTATTTTTAAACCAATGGTAAACATCATATCACTCCATTCATAAACTTCTCAGTAGCTATAACTTAAAAATAGACTGTGTATTCGTGTAAAATAGCAAGTCAGTTTTGAAATTTCCAATCATCTCTTACCTTGTATGTGTGTGTTTTAAATTTGTTTGAATAAGAATCCAAAATTTACATATCTTCATTGACTTGTATATTTTGTTATTCTCTTTTAAGCTATAGGTTCATTCTCTGTCTTTTCTTCCAGAGTTATTCATGTGTTTTATTTATGATTATTCCTTGTATTTATTTGTTGAAGAAATCAAGTTGTAGCGATCTCTAGTCTAGATTATGCTGATTGCTTCTTTATAGTGTGGATTATGTGTTCCTCACGCTCAATTTCCTACAAATTGGTGGTTAAAAATAGGAGTGGCTTGATCAAATTTAGTTCTATTTTTTACAAGACCTAGATGATGATGTACTCTTTTTAATCTTTTATCAGGAGCTCATAATGTCCACTTGATTATTCTTTTTTGATGTAAGTAGACACTGAACTCAATACCTAGAGGTCTCACTTTTCAATTACAATCTTCTTTTAAAGTTTTATTATTTATTCTTTCCAAGAACAAGTGATAGAGAAGGGAAAGAGAGGGACACAGACATCCCTACCAGGGTCCTCATGACTTGATTCACTCATAGCCTCAGCCAGGCTCAGCTTATGAGCATGAGTGCACCAAGTATGTTCAGGAAGGCCTCTGGACACAAACCTGGAACCTTTGAGTGTGGGTCAGCCTTGCAGCACATCGCATTACCACTGTACCAAGTTCAAGACTCCCACCACAGTTGACTATGTGCAGAAATGGTCCGTTTTTTATGGATGAATGTGACATGGGCTGAGGGGAAAAAGGATGAGATATTTATAAATGGGGAGGATGAAAGAAGATGAATATAAATAGCATGATAATACCTGGAAGAATGAAGATAGTTGAAGAAATAGTCATTGAGAATTTAGATGGGATTCAGAATACAGGTGGAAAAAATTTTTTAAATCTTTGATAGAGAGAAGGTAAGGATGGGATAACTGTAGATACATTTATGGGGTAAGGGAATCCATTTTCTTAAGAGAGTTCACACTCTACAACTACTGGTTTAATCAGTAAAATAAGAAATAAGACCATCTGTTTCTAGGAGAAAGAAGAGAAATAGCAGATTTAGGACAATGGTGAAGGTTTTGAATAGATATCGATGAATGATATAAAAGAAGGGTGACCAGAAAAAAAGAGTCACAAACATTGATGGTACCATTCAGATTTGGATGCCAATTATTTGTAATGTCCAGAGTCAGTAAAATTTTTTTTAAATTTCCAACTGTGGTAATCAACCTGAGTGTGGTTAAATAAATCAGCCAGGTTTTGTGGAGCCCAGGTATTGATAATGCTGTTTAAGAACAGTTGGAATAAAGCACCTTGGAGTTCAAGCCACAAAGTAACGGTGGT